TTAATCCTCCATTTATTCTGATAGATGTGTTCCCAGTCATGCATGGATGGCAGACTGCTCCTAGTACTGCTGATCAGTGAGGAAACGATCAACTGCACGAGAGACATGCTCAGGTAAACTCAGTGCTTTTGAACAATAAGACAAGACAGCATATTTTTATGTCATATTGTTTTTTGGCTATCATTATACGCTGTATTTGGCTTTTGACTGGTATACCCCGCCATACGTACGGACAACATCGCCGTCCGATACCTATTGCGAAAATTTGCGGTACTTGACTTCCTTCGGCATTTATTTGACAGGAGCTTCCCAAACCGCACCATTAACGTAAATGAAATCAGTAATGGACAAGTATATCCCAACTAAAATGATAAAGAATAGCAATTCCTCACCCTGGATCAATAACAAAGTCAGGAAAGCTCATAAAAAGAAACAGCGAGCATACAATTCTTATCGTAAAAACCCAACTAATGAGTCATTGAATAAACTACGTTCTCTTCGTAAGCAAACAAGATAACTAGACAAAACTATCGTAAATATGTTAACTCTATCTGCTCTGATTTTCCCAAGAAGTTTTGGTCACATATTAAACACCTAAAACAGGACGCAACAGGTTTCCCCAGTCTTAAACATAAAGGTAAACTGGAAATTGACAACAGAAACAAAGGCAGCATTCTAAACTTACAGTTCAGTTCAGTTTTTACTCAGGAAAAGGACGATCTACCCCACCTTCCCCATAGTACGATTCCTACAATGCCCGACTATAACATTAGTGTTAACGGAGTAACTAAACTCCTAAAGGACTTAAATCCGCATAAAGCAAGTGGCCCTGACGGCCTCCCGTCAAGAATCCTCAAAATGACAGCAATTGAAATAGCCCCTGCCTTTACTTTTATTTGCCAGCAATCATTAGAAACAGGTCAGATTCCTTCCCATGGCTACATGCCAACATTTCTCCCATACATAAGAAAGGTGAAAGGACAGACCCTGCTAACTACCGTCCATTTTCGTTGACATGCATAATGATAAACAACATGGGTTCAGGAAAAATCGTTCATGTGAGTCACAACTCATCTTAACAACAAACGACCTAGCCCGTTCTCTAGACTCTAAATCCCAAACTGACATGATTATAACAGACTTTGCCAAAGCTTTTGACAAAGTCCCGCACAACCGTTTGCTTCTCTAAAACTGCAGACTTACGGGACTAGAGGCAGGCTTCTGTTTCGGCAAGAATAGAAAGCAGTAGTAGTTGGGGGGACACTCAGAGTGGACAGAAGTAACATCCGGCGTACCCCAGGGTACAATATTAGGGCCCCTTTTGTTTTAAGTTTATATAAATAACCTCGCTGACAATCTTAACTCTAATATTCGTCTCTTTGCGGACGACTGTGTTATCTACAGAAAAATAACCAATGATAAACATCACTCCCTTTTGCAAGACGACATTAATACATTTATATCATGGCAGAACGTATGCAGATGGAACTACATCCGGCCAAATGTTTCGTCATGCGCTTTACTCACAAACACAAGCCTAATCTATATAATTATAAACTAGGTAACCACATCCTAGCCGAAAAAATAATCATAAGTACTTAGGAGTTACTTTGAACAACCATTTGAGCTGGTCTCAACACATTACCTCCAAAGCGAACAAGTCCCTGGGCTTTGTTAAACGAAACCTCTACAGTTGCCCCAAATCTGTTAAACAAAACGCAAATACAAGTTTGGTCAGACCGCACTTGGAATATGCCAGTGCGGTTTGGGACCCTTACCACAAGGACCACATCTTAAAAACTTGGAGCTGTACAAAAAAGAGCAGCTAAATTTGTCACCAATTCATATTCCACACACATTAGCACAACTAAACTTGTTTCCGACCTAGGATGGGACACATTACATAATAAAAGAACAGCCAGTAGAATAACTATCTTACACAAAGCTGGACAAAATAAAATTGCCTTACCGGTTGCAACTCAGCTTTCGTCCGCACCGCGCAAATCGCAGCAACCCGATTTCCTACAAGACTCTAGCATTCCAGAAGGACTGCTATAGGTATTCGTATTTCCCACGGACTGTTAGATACTGGAACGAGCTTCCGCAGGCCTTACCAGAAATACCAGAGGCCAACAAGTTTGAGGAAACTGTTCTGCTACACGTGAGGAGTGTTTTTAGCGCTGAGCACCCCCCCCCCCTGCGTTTTTGACCCCAACTGAGGGGTGTTACTACATCAATCTCCTCGACTCATGTCACGGTAGAAGGTAAACCCATAGGGGCTCATCCACTCATGACAAGGTACTGAATCCACAGCAGATGCATACAGGAAATCATACAAGCCTTCAACCTGTACACCGATACTAATGATGAAAGCTCAAGTGACGACGAATGTTAGAGTGATGACAAAGGGGGAGACAACACCTTCCAGATCTCCAGAAGTTTTGCACACAAAACCGCGAATAGAAGCAGTGTATGTCGAAGGGACTGGTTGCGGACTTGTAATACACAGGGGCCCCAAAAGTAGATTAGTTTGCCGAAGTTGTAGACGGCAAATTCGTAACTGTTGGCACATCCACCACTTTAGAGACTATTGCCAAAGACAGGACGTGCCACTACCAGAGGAGCAGCACACTGCAAGAGCCTCCAAGCCCCAGGATGGAGTGTCGTTTCGCCCGATTCCGTACCCAGCATGGCCAGACCACATGAAAGAACTGAATAACAAGCACCTGTTTGGCCTGACCACATTTCCAGAACATCTTGTGCCCTCCATTTGGGATGCTAGTACTACCTGCAACCATGGAAATCCATGGGACAGAAGGGATCCGGTGAAGGAAGGCTGGGTGGCATTCCGCGGTGTCACTATACACCTCGAGGCAGGCGCTTTGCCAAACTACATCGACAGAACAGCACAGGAGACACGTGAGTGGGTTGTGTACTTCAGACCAACCACGGGGAACTGTGACTGTAGGCTACCATACGACGGCCAAGAAGACCTCCTGTTCAATTTCTCAAACAAGGTCATGTACAGCTACAGTTATCTATTCGCGTACCTACACAACATGATGGAAAGCCAACACCCCTAAGAGCCTACCACAGAGCATGCCAGCGAACAAACAAGATGTCCACCACAACACAACTAACCGATCGCGACTACGACACTTTCCTGTACGCATACAACACTTTCGAACGACTCCTCGACATTGACTGGACAACGTCTTTTCAGTGCCCCACATGCGGTCCGCAACCTAAAGTCATCATCACGGATGGCATCACACTGGGATTCAAGAAAGACCTCATACCAGAGCTGCAGGATGACATCCAGCATTCAGATGTAAGTACATGTATTCTTGTTTGAGAAAGAGCACAATGTGCATGATGATGATACTAACTAGTATGCGTCTTCAAAAACTTACACACTGCATTAATTACATTCCTTATAGATCTCAAGATTAACTGTTTATAAGTATAACCACAAGCTAGTACATGTAATTACCTGGATGTCTAACCTTCATGGACATCAGACAATATTTAACTTTAAAGAGGGTTCTGGACTCGCATTGTGAAGCCAGTTCTCCGTATCTGCTTTCTATTTATTTAACTGCTTTTGTTGTGCAACCAGTAAGTTGGGAAGGTGACAGACGGTCACCGAAACGTCAGTTGTGTACGAAACATTTTTGTGTAAAACGTGTCTCTTTACACAAATATTGTGTCAAATTTACGCTAGAATTGTAAGATGACTGCAATAAACTTAAACATGGCCTAAATATTTTCCAGCCTCCTGTAATCAACAGCGGCAGCAGGCATCAGCAACGTGTCCTCATTAAAGACGAATTAACTAGGGCAACACTGCGGCGATTTGCTGGAGTGGGCAAGGCTCTTTCGCTGCAACAGTGCAGGGAGATGGAGAGTAAGATGGCCAGCAGTGGCAACAGGGCACTGTCCAACCTTGTGAAACGTTTCCGCAATGGACAGAGGATAGATGTCGTTGCACCAAAGACTTACAAGTGAATGTCCAAAATATTAACAAATTTCTTAAAGTACTATAAGCCTCCCTTGTACATTTCTATGAAAAATAGGTTAAATGCACTAACAGAAAATAGGGAAAACTAATATCATATCGTATATGGATGAGGTATTGTCTGTCCTCTTCAGGAACTTGATAAATAGTGACAGATTCACATGGCTAACACTGTACGTTGTCGACGCTAATGGGGGAAGGGGCAGAAACATACGGTAATGTATATAGACAGTAGCAACATACAGCTACATGTAGACATAGGTGTTTTTCATGACATCTCAGAACATGTCAATGTGGCAAATTTTTGGTCCGAAATATAATAAAGACATATTGTTAATTATTATAGTAAACGTTAAGAAGATTTCTATAAGTAGGATTTTACAGCCAATTTCAGCCATCGAGCACGGATGTGTTCCCCTAATACCGTTAATAACACCTACCGGTATATGAAAAAAAGAACAGCAGAAGAAACCGATTACAGTAAAATATCTTAACGTAAACATGTTTTCACAGCGAGAACTCAGGTCTGCAATTCGTAAACACGCGGTGGAATCGGCGGCCAAGAGAGGATTCCGCCGTGCAACAGTTGATGTAAGTAACTGAACGCCGAGCTCAGTAAATTGTAGGTCTGATTATTTTATACGTTTATGCTAATTCATCGTGAAGTAATTAATTTAGGGCGTATACAGAATAGTGATATGTTTATTCAACGAAATGAAACACACGGGCGGCGTGACTCGCCTAGGTAGTCTGAGTCTAATATTTTCTTTATAGGTCTGCAAGTACTTCCCACATCTCTAAAAGGGGGCTGTGGAGGTGGAGCTGTGGAGAACTCTCCGCACTCACCGATATGAGCAGAAGAGGTGACGTTTATTTCTTTATTACTGAATTGAAATGCACAAATTGAAAGTGAATGAGAAAGCAAAGTAGAAAGTTTCAGATTCAATAACAAATACTATCATGGAACCAAAGTATACGTGGGCATTTACCATTTATACGTGTTAAAGTTAAATGAGGGTGAACATAAATAAACATTATTTATTGAAATCAAGAAGTGATAGAATTAAGATAAGGCTGTCATTGGGTCCAGAATATGATTTACTGATATAATCCATGATGGGAATCGATTGAAGATATCTTGTTATGTCTGTAGAACCCGCCCAACAAGACCAGGCTCACAGCAGAAGCCAACCGTGACGATCAAGCGTCAAACGGGGACGTGCTGGCCACCGGAACGGTGGTAAGGCGGCGGGACACTACGGGGGCACTGTAGCATATCATTACTTTCTTAAATTGGTAAATACATTGGTCGGTTACAAAATGTGTCACAGGATGTAAACCACTGGTAACAAGGCGGCATACACGTAAAATACACAAATGCAACGGAAGAATTAACGTCGTCAAATTCTACACAATACAGAACTAGAAGCGAATTGATTGCATCCTAAACGTAAATCGTTTCTGTGTTGTGTAAAGTAGTGGATAAGCTCGTACCGTACTTAGAAAGAAGTCAATATTAAAATGGTACTTAAAATGAGCATTTTAAAACTTATTTATGACATCATGTTGTTCATTTCGTTTCCTTCATCTTTTTATTAGGATTCCAAGCGGACAAAGAGGACAGGAGACAGAATTTTTTAACGTTTTAGTTTTGTGGTACCTATATTTTTGATGACGTCGTTGTAATTTAGTGTTATACTTTTTAGTTCACCTTAGACGTCGTTTTAATTTAGTGTTGTATTTTCACTTGTAGTCTTAAATGTTCGACGAAGAAGATATTAAAAGAATGATGACAATGAAGATGATGACGGCTTTATTGCTAGTAAAACATTTTGCAAGCCGAAGGTTGAATCGCACGTTTTATGACATCATTGTCCACCTTAACAAAAAAGTCTAAGATTGAATATTAAGGTTTACTAGGACTTGGCAACTACACCAACGTTTTATGTGAAAAACAAAAATAGTAAAAAGTGACCCCAATGGCCTGACCAAAACTGGCCTACCATTGGGCTAACCAATAAATTTCTAGCATAGTGAGGAAATTATCTAAACACTAAAGGGAAAACGAAGGGCTCTCACCATTGTTTTGGCCCGATTTCTGGTTACATGTCAGATCGACAGTCAGTAAAAAGCTGTAACGTTACATGTATGGCTGGTATCTATGTAAAAAGGTAGTGGCTTGTTACTGATAAAATTGCAAAGAACAGATGACAATCTGTGAAACTGAACCAAATTTTGTTCATAACCATGATTCTAAAACTTCAAGGTCATCATAGAAAAATGAGCAAAATATGTCATGTAAGGGTGTGAAACCTGTCATAATAATCATGATTGTAAAATTGACTTTTGTAGGTTGAATGATTGCATGATATTACAGAATAGTCTTTGAGGGTTTTTGAGTGATATTTATAATGTTTAGATCATAGCATCTAATAGCCATGCCCCCCTCCCCACTTTCAAGGTCACCCATGCCCAACTATTCTACAACTTTCTGAAGAGTTTCCCCAAGGTGATTTTAACATTTTTTAATAATGTTTAGGTCATAAAATCTAATCATGATTATGCCCCCCTCCCCACTCTCAAGGTCACCCAACTGTTCTACAACTTCCTGGAACTGTCGGAGGGCGAGGCGTACACGTTCCGTGCCTGCGCGGTGAACGCCGTCGGCGCTGGGCCGTATGCACAGACTCCACCCGTGGAGACCAGGGAGAAACTCAGTAAGACAATGATCACAACTGTTCCCGATACTACTATTACTACTAACAGTACAACTGTAAACAGTTACAACTCTTACAGGCTACTGTTACTGAATGTGTTGTTGCTACTTACTGTAACAACTAAATCAAGGGAGTTTGTATGACTGCACGTATCTGTTCATGAAAACTTAGTAATTCAGAAACACCTTGTGGTGACTATCCAGTTATGCAATTCAGGTTGAAATAAAGTCATAACAGGAAGAGAAATCTGCATGGAAAGTCATCAATTTACAATCGCACATACACATGAAAGATTGGTAATGAAAGTCTATTAGTGAAACACTGTTTTAATGACTGTCCAAAATAGAAAAGAAATTCTTACGATTTCTCACGACAAAGATGCTTGGCTTGATAAGATTAACATATAGAAAGCAACTATTTTTTGCTTGACAAAAATGATGACAAATTTTCTTCAAATTTTCCCCAGTTCCCCCTGGCATCAGACTGCAGGAGGAGATGACAGTCCGTGCAGGAGAGACCATCAACATCGCGGCCGGCATCACCGGCAAGCCCGTCCCCGCCATCAGCTGGGAGCGCGGCGGGAAGCCTCTCATGGCCGTGGACCGCGTCAGCCTGGTGAACGACGCCTCCTCCTCCAACCTGGACATCAGGAAGTGCATGAGGAAGATCGACCAGGGAGTGTATCAGGTTACAGCCAAGAACAAGGTCGGCACGGCCAGCAAACAGATCAAGGTCACCATCCTGGGTGAGTAATGTCTTTGAAAATAACTACACTTTTTTCACAGCAATCCGTGTTTTTGTTTTTGGGAAACACCAAAGTTTGGTTTTTAACATGCATCCAATATACCATCGCCAAACCAATTATACACTGATCTCTGGTTTTAAAGTTACCCACAAGATGCCATAATATTTGTGTTAAGACTGAGTTGTCTTACATGTATATGTTGAATTGGCTGTCACATGCCAATAAGTAGTACTACTTGAATTGCATAGCTGAATCCAGTGATAGAAATCCTGGTAAAGAATGTGATAGATGTGTATGTTACATTAGTGAATTGTGCATATCACATTGATTTCTGTCTTGAAGTACCCACATATACAAAATGTAAATCCCCCATTATGTATATTATGACATTCAAGCATTTGACATTCAAACTTTTAGTTTGGAAACATGTACAGTGTATAAGAAATCTTACAATTTGTTGATCTCAAGATGTCTGTAAATCCCTAAGACTCAAAATCTCTAACCATATTTTCCTCTACCTCCCAGATGTTCCTGGCGAGCCTAACGACGTGAAGATCAGCCGTGTGTTCGCGAACGAGATGACGGTGACGTGGAGCAAGCCGTACCAAGATGGCGGCAGCCCCATCACCAATTACGTGGTGGACCGGCGCGACGTCCACATGGTCACCTGGACTCAGGTGTCCGCTAGCATCGACCCCAAGAAAATGTAAGTTCAGTTCAGTTCAATTCATCCTCTTACAAGCTAGGTACCCCTATGGGTGCCTGGGTGCCTCTCCAGGCATTGCCTTTTGTGTATGAGTAAGAATAAACAGAGCAGTAGTTTGTTAGGCTAGACCATGTGAAGGTTATACATGATGCACATGGTCACCTGGACTCAGGTGTCCGCTAGCATCAACCCCAAGAAAATGTAAGTTCAGTTCATCCTCTTACCTCTATGGGTGCCTCTCCAGGCATTACCTTTTGTGTATGAGTAAGAATAAACAGAGCAGTAGTTTGTTATGCTAGACCATGTGAAGGTTATACATGACGTACATGGTCACCTGGACTCAGGTGTCCGCTAGCATCGACCCCAAGAAAATGTAAGGCTTTACCTTACTCGCTCACTCACTCACTTTCTATCTGGTTTAGCATCTGTTGTTCCCTGTCTTCCAAGGGTTAGATGTGCTTGCACAGCAGTACTGAGGCTTGATGGTAGCCCACCACTTGCCCCTATCCTCACTCCAATTTTTATTCACATTTAGCAAAAGAGGATTGGACAAAGAGCAAGCATGCTTGCAAAAGCCCTCTATAAAACTATAAAAACAATGCCTTTGTAATGACCACAAAAAGGGCAATAAAATAGGAAATACAAATGGAGGAAAAAGTAGCAAAAACAAGATGAGTAATGGTGTGTAAATCAGTTACAAAAATCCTCCACAAACATGTGAATGAAAGTTTTTGTCTTGATTAGTACATTGTTTTGACTTGTATCTTTTTACATATTGTGATGTGAAGAAACTATTCTATTTATTTGTTTTCATGACTAAATGCCAGAAAAATAAGCCAATGGATATGTGTTTCCCCCCTGTAGGGTGATTGTAGCCCACAAGCTGCTGGAAGGTGTGGAGTATGTGTTCCGTGTCAGGGCAGAGAACAACATCGGAGTCGGCCCACCAGCCGAGTCCAAACCTACCCTGGCCAGGAGCCCATATGGTAGGATTTACCTCAAATGTGTTAACGGCTTCATTTAAGTTGTCCCGAGTATGCAAATAAGTAAGATAAAGCATCAGTTTGAAGCATACAAATGTATGTGGGACACAATTTACCTGGCTGTATATTGTATCTTAATGATTGTATATCACTGCATTACATGTATTGTACATCCTAAAGTCTCAGATATGTTAGAAAGCCCACATGTTTGAACTGAAGATCTTATCTCTTGACTCTCTTGCCTTGTTTTGTTTGGGGAGATTTAGATATGCAGTTTGCAACATGTCTTTACGTCTTTCTAATGCAAAAGTGTCCAGAGGAATCTGAACATTCTAGTCCACTGCTGTGGTTGTAAGTACAAGACTGCAACTACAAAGTAACAGCTTTCTCTGCACAGAAAATGTCTCTGTACATCACTCTAGAATTATTATAGTATCAGTACAATACAAGATTAACAGTTGAAGTAATGGTTGTTGTTCCCTGTTCCCCCCAGGCCCACCTGGACCACCAGAAGCACCAGAAATCACGGCATCCGGTCGGAACTGGCTGAACATCGTCTGGTAAAAGCCGAAGGACGACGGCGGCGCGCCCGTTAGCAAAAACCCGACACAAGGCTGACAGTACAATTTTACTGAAAGGTCAAGATCCCGACCTACCCGTGCACTCGAGCCGGCGTGGCCGGTTCCAGGCGAGAGCGCCCAGGTCCTGAAGCTGTAGTGTGTTCGGAGGAAGGGAAAATCATTAATTCTGATTCAGATAAAGGTAACACCTTAATTGTCGTTTGATAATCATTACAATAAGAAGGGCAAGGAATTTGAGGTTCCCGAACAGGTTGCTTCTTTTCCGAGATCAGTATTTTCTCACAAGCTAACGTATTCTGAGTTTAAAAAGAGGAAAGAAGCATTTCCCACTCCGCCTAATGTTGAATTCGCGCTTCGGGCGCCGACTCTAGACGCAGTAGCTATGTGGATAATATGATTAAGCATGATACTGTCAGCACTGATAAGAGTTTTCAATTAGTGATTGCCAGGACCAGATGCTTATGAATGATAGCCCATTAGTAGGATTGTTAGCAGCAATTAATGGTTCTGACCATCCTCTAAACACTGGAGACGGTTTGCAATCGTCTTTGGTGTCTTGGGGATCTGCCTTCTCTACCATAAGTCAGTATAGGCGTAAGATGTGTGGCAAGGAAATGAAATAAGATATGAAACATGTTTGACTGACTTGCCAATCGCTACTTTCTTTTTTTCCCCGTCTGTATGGTGCAGGGAAATAAAATCGATCCTGAAACTTCAGGGTTCAGAACTGGTCGTGAACGTACCCGTATATGAGAATGCAGAGAACAAGGATATAGCAACCAACATATTAATCAAACAGCTCGAAGAAGTGGCCAAAGGTAGGCCATGCCTTGACCCTGCTCAACTCCCGGCGTACCGTCCCATCAACATCTGTCCAAAATACCACCTTGGGACGTCTATTCAGGCTAAAGTCTGGCAAGGCAGCGGGGCCGGATCAGCTGAACAATAGAATACTGAAGGAGTTTGCTTATGAACTTAGCAATCCTGCCACACATATCATAAACACATCCCTTAGAGAAGACCGTGCACCACAGATGTGGAAGGATGCGACAGTGGTGCCGTTTCCAAAATCACAACCGCTAACAATGGACAAATTGCGACCTGTATCACTAACATCTCAACTTGCAAAAGTGGCAGAGTACTTCATATCGAAATGGTTGATCACCGACATCAGATCATCATTGGATCCTAGGCAGTTCGGGTGTTTAGAGGGTCAATCTACCTTGGTAACCTCGTCACCTCCCTGTGCCGAGAATCTGAGAGACAAAACGTGAGCACACTGGTATTCACTGATATTTCTAAGGCATTTGATCGTATTGATCATACAGTTGCTATACAAAAACCGATCAGTGTTGGAGCAAGAAGCTCGCTTATCCCTTGGATTTGTGATTTTCTAACGCAAAGACGGGGGTCAACTGTCCAATTGGGAAGCCCTCACATGCTCTGTCCCACAAGACACACTTCTGTGCCCACTTATCTTCCTGGTCGTATTTGACGACGCCATTAGAACTGCAGCTGCGGAACAATGGAAATACGTGGATTATTTAACCTTGGGTGAGTAACGGAAATGCGCTATACCTCCGACATTGCAAACGGAGTTAGACTGTTTTAAAGACTGGTCAAAGAATAACCACCTATTACTTAACCAGGACAAATGTCAGACCATGGTTGTCTGTTTCATGAGGGTCCCTCCCCCACCATCAACCCTTCTCATCGACCGGACGGAACTAGAGGCGGTATGAGTCATGTGCCTGTTGAGGGTTTGGATCCAGAATAACTTGAATTGGGACAAACAGGTGGACGTAATGATTGACAAAGCAGGTGGTCGTCTCGTCATGCTGTGCAAGCTCAAGCGTGCCCAACTACCACTCTCGGACCTACTACAGAGCATATGTGAGACCAGTATTGGAATATTGTGTTCCGGTATTGCAGCCAGAACTGACCAGTACCCGGACTGTAAGGTTGGAGAGAGTGCGGAAGAGGGCACCTCGAACAGATGAAGAAGTCTATTCCACACAGTAGTACAAAAACATGGAGGCCATGGCTAAGGAAGTAATAGAAACATTCAGAACTGCAAAATTGAGCAGCACTCCACTTCAGTCTTTTAGCAGCAATGCACAGTGATACCAATAACATTTACGTATCGCCAGTAAGCTACACAGAGAAATAGACAAGGGAGTTGTGGAACAATACTATACAAACACGAGACCATAGGAACGCCACCGACAAACACAGCTTTGTCCAACGACCTCCACAGCTGCACTGGCACGTAATCCCTCCTTCAACAAGCACACTGTATATATCCATCCGCAAGAATATTTGACAAGCCTGCATGTCTAACGAAGAACTCCTGATAGGACGTAAACAGTCACATAAATACAGTTCAGTTTGTAATTTAACAGCTATAGCCGAAAAGCCTTTATACATGCGGTTACTATGACATGCCATTTCTTATTGCCATGGTGCGAACTACTTTCTGTCGCCCATGAATAACGTGGCAGTGATACAACAGCTGAGATGGATCTTGGCCTGAACACCTGGGTAACCTAATTTGATCAACTGCAACCACCAACCAGACGCTCTGGCGTAATGTGTTATCGAAATTTGAAAAGAACTACAAATTCTAATGACCGAGGGACTATGTTTTGAGTGCAACAACAATAAATGGATGCATGCCAAACTATAAATTCAGTCGACTGAAGGTTTGGCTTGCTACAAAAAAGTCTAGATCTAAAATCAACTATATTTGATGTAGTCATTAATACAAAATTGATCTGGCCTTTTGCACACGGCCTCTTGCTGTTGTTTCACTGTCCTTGACTGTAAATATCCATGTGCGGACAGAATATAGTTCCCATCTACAAACAATCCTGCATCACGATACACAGCGGCAGAATCGCTACATTTACTATGCCAGTCTTTGATTAGATAGGTACGTTCAATATGTAAATATAATTGCATTGTTGCTGTTTACCTTGAAGTATTTTGTATGTTGCTGCGGATGGATAATAAAAAATGCTACGGCCTTCGCTGGAGACTCGCGCCAGTGTAGCTTGGGTTGTCTT